TCGAAGATGGATGCTTCGAGAGGTCTTGCAATCCTTCTTCGTTGAATGAATATTGCCTGCGTCTTCTGGACGAACTACCATATCGCAATTTGAAAGTCACGTTTGACTACCTTGAAAAATTTTACTTCGGAGTAGTCATATATTCTGGGGCCTCGTGCTTTCCATTGACATGAGTAGCGAGAAACTGGAAAAATTGCCAAAACGCTAAATTTGCCAACTTTGATCATGTCTCCAGACCGAAGCGCTCGATCTAGAACTCTAAAATTTCACTAACCCGCATGACTTTATATGTACTCTCTAGGAAAGAAAACTGCGCCCGAGATATGTCTCGCCAACCCAGATCGTAGAGTTTTAGTATTGACCCTAATAAACTTTAGGTGCAAAAATCGCAATGAATGACAGTGATCTGTTTGAAATTTGTTATCATGAGCCTCTATGCACCCACAGACATTCCACCTCTTTTGTTCTATAAAAATAAATGTGAATCCAACTAATCAATAGCAGTTTAGATCGTTGTCATCTTTCTTTTATAGAATAGAACATTAGTAGTCTTATCAGTATGTAAGAAACATACTTGATTAGCTGAAAGAGTTCTGTACAGTACAGGTATTTATTATGCACATAAGTTGAATATTTAGGTTTGTTTACGTTTTCCACCTCTAATAAGCTGGCAAACTTATTAAATCAGATTCCCGAAGGTTGTCGATGCTCTTTCGACATCGACTGTGATTGCCCATAGACCAGGCCAACTAGCCGAAAACGGACATTGTTTTAGAAAAAAGAACTGTATAGATTGATTTCACATCGGTATTATATTCTTGATGGGAGAATGAAAAGGTTATCTATCAAGATATACGAAAAAGTTTGCCGGGTATGTTTTTTTTCATTAAACGTAAAACCTAGGGTAGTTGCGGAATAAGACAGCACCCCTGCCACCTATTACCTGAATTCGCCACTGTCAGAGTCGCAACAGCAAAGATAATAACTGTTTCGCGTGTATTAAAAAAAAAACTTCAAGACGCTAGTCTAAAAAAGGCTTTTCAGTGTTCAATGTCAAAAAAGCTAGTGACACCTACTTAGCAGGTATTTAGACATTGATTACTATGAGTTAAATCATTTTATATTCTCTGCTGCGCACTTTTCAATATACAACAAATTTGAAAATCAACGGTAGCTGGTATAAACAGGAGAAGAGTGTAGTAACGGGAAACCTTTAAAATAACATCTTACATGCCCATTTCATTGCAGCATCAAAAAAGTTAGTGACACTTTGAAGTAATTGCTGAGCATTTATGCGCATTTTTCTTAGATGCTTATCACTATAGGGACTCTAATTTCTGGCAAATATTTCATATCTCCTGTTAGGTACTCTATAGTAAAAAATAAATTCTACGATATTTTGCAATAACAAGTTAACTACTTGCTAGTTCTTTGCATATATGGGAAATGTGATTTCTTTGCCTAGACGTGTAATAAACAAAGTTACCAGGCAAAAACTTCTGTATCTCTAAGCAATGAAGATTTTCATTTACACTCAAGAATATAATCCCTTGTAAAATTCTTCCATACAATTTTATCGTTACCAAACTATTGTGCAGGAATTAGGTGTTGGGGTACAAAGGGACGTACTTCTGTTACAAATGTCATTATCTAAAAACTTGACGGATTTGCACTCATGTTTCAAATTCTTTTTAACATAATTGTTGTTCTTGCTTTTATACAAACTGCTATAGGTAGACACTAACATTTGCAAGTTTAGTGAACCCCATTCTTTTGAAAATATTTTCAAGAATTCAGAATTTCTATCTATGAACAATTCAAAAATATACAGGGTGGGCCAGTTAAAGTGGCAGCATTTGTTTATAAAAAAATACATTAACAAAATATTTTTTGTTGTTTATTTGAAAAGTCCTTTGTTTTGATCCAAGGAGATTTGTTGTAATTACTTTTCAAAAATGATATCGCGCAAATGGCCACCTATGGCCTTGATAACCAGATGTGCCCTTTTTCGGCGTTTTCCATCACGTTGACCAATGTTTAGGCGGATTCGGCGGCATTTTTTGAACGAATATTGTTCTTGAGGGCAGCTAGAGTCCTTGGCTTGTTAGCGTATACCTTGGATTTCAAATAGCCCCACAAATAAAAGTCTGGTGGCGTCAAATCGGGTGATCTCGGTAGCCAGTCAAAATCGCTATTTTTCGATATCAGTCATCCAGGGAACAATGGTCGCAATAAATTGATTGTTACTTGAGCTGTGTGGCATGTGGCACCGTCCTGCTGGAACCAGTAATCGTCCATGTCATTTTCACAAACAATTAGCCTCCCAAGACTACCAGTGTTCATAAAATTTGCGTATACACGTCTGATACTGTTATCAGCTGAAGCACTTTTAACTTTATTTTTTTTACGAAACGCACGCTTAGTTTTCACGATTGAGAAGTCATTTTGAATGACAACTGAATACTTTCAGCGCGTTGTTTTGGAGTGTACTGTTCCATGGCTAAAATTGTACTGAAATGACGCTTCCAATGCGTTATGGCATTAGTCCATATGACTACTAATGTCAAAGATATAGGGTTGCTTGATGCTTCCACTTTAAATGGCCCACCTTGGCGCCAATCTTTTTTCTCACATTTGAGGTCTGTACATTCTTCTTCCACCGGATTCTTCTCCACATTGGCTGTTATGCGTCTTAAGCCGCGTACTGACCGTTCGGCGTTGGATTTTCGGTTTGTACGCTGCTTCACAAACCTCTTAACTGTTGAAGTTTTAATGACTTTTTGCCTTCTTTCCTAGACATGATCTTAGTTACACTCTAGTTTCAAAAGAGCGTAATTCTTCAAAATTTATGTGCCACTGAAGCATACGCAATGTTAAACAAATTAAGTTTCTATACTGATTAAGGTATTCTATCTGGAGATAAACCAACAATGTACTGAATTTCAGCGTCAAAAAAGCTGTACGAAATGAAATGAGATATCCTGCCGTTAACTACAAGTATTTGTCACAGCTATCGAACTTCTCCTTTCAGCGATCATTGGAAATCGACTTTGAAAATGTTATTGCATCATAAATGGCACTGTAGCCAAATGTATGCTGATATATGCTTGTATAGTTGACTACAGCGCCATCTATGAGATTCTGACCTTTCAAAGTAGATAGAGGATGTCATTTGATCTCGTATTGATTTCTTAAGCGCGGAGGGCTGCCTATCTTCAGAGAGAATACGTTAATCAGTAACGGCATCGGGGTATGTACGTCAGGCGACCCGTTAATCCCTTTCTTTCATTTGTGGCAGAAGTCGTGAGTGACCAATTCTATTTTCTGAAATTCTAGATTTCCTGGTCTACAACCAAGCACCATCGAAAACAAGACAATAAATCTGATGTGGAAGTTCGAGGTTGTTGCTTTGAAATTGATCGCTGTCCTCAGTGTGTGCTCAGACCACCGAGATCTTTCTCTGCCTTATAATTTTAGCTTGAACGTGCGTATGTCCTGACTTGAATTAGAATAAATCCAGCATAATGAAACACCAGAAAAAATAGAAAGGCTGTGAAACAGTGCAGTCGAATGGAGTCGAATATTTAGGTTACAATGGAAATATTTACATTTGCAGGAAATTCGTGAATCGGGTCAGTAAGAACCTAGTGAGAACATTGAAGTAGAATAAAAAAATGAAATCACATAATTAAAAAAAGTCATATTACTACTATACTTGCCATTCAGTTCTTATATATTACTATATTTGCGATTTGCGCTACCTAGAAGGCCAAAATTGCGCTGAATAGGGGTATTTTATGCGTTCTCCAATGGGTCTGACTCAAGCCGATGAGATCCGCAGCAATCTAAAAATATTCCAAGATATCCAAGACAATGTATGGAGATCTGAGGTAATTATTGGTATTCCAAGGCAATCTCAGTCTTTGCGCAGGCACAGGCGAAAATTTTGTGAGGTTCTGTCCATGCTTGCTTCGGTAAAACGTACGATTTCATCCGCTGAGGATGCATAGAGATCCAAGGAAATTCAAGGATATCCAAGAGTATTCAAGTATTTTTAAAGAGATACAACACATTGATTGGTAGGAGAAAATTTCCTACAGGGAGTTTAAAGCTACACTTAATAAATTTTTCAAATGTTCTACTGATATTTTTTAGCTTTGGCGAATACACAATATAGACGATTTTTTTTTCACAATCACGTCGTTTTGAGTTCCTTAACATGACTTAAGAGGTTGTCGGGCGATAACCCGAGGCCTAGATTGTTTTTTGTCCCAGCTAAAGCTCTTTTAGGTCTTATGGATCATTCTAAACAAAAGATTTAACTAGTAAGCTAAACCGTAAAATGACTATATTCAATGATCAAGAATCTGGTTTAAAATAATTTGCTCTGAGGTTGCCAGGCACCTAAATTAAGGTTCAAACATTCTGCTACAACACTTCCAGCATTTCGGCCTTAGTCCACTGTAGAGCATTTTCCGTAAGCTCTTTATGGTCTTATAAGTCCGAACTTCAAATTAGACACTTGTAAATCTCAAAAACATGTCTTAGAAATGCTTTTAAGCACTGAAAATATGAATTTTCAGGGTTTCTCAGACCGCAATTACTTATAAACTTCAGAAAAATGTTACTAAGTACCTTTTTGCTAGCAAGATCCAAAAAAACTTTATGCGGGACAAAAAACAACGTTTGTATTCAGTTAAAATTGTTTAAAAAAAATTGGATCAAGGTACCGTCCGGAAAAACTGATAAGGGGCATCCAACAACTATGAAAAAAATCGAGTTGGAAAATTTGTTAGACGAATGCGAAGTTTTCGACGCCGTCTAACAGAGAATCAAAATTGTTCTTTATAATGCTTTATTCCAGAGATACAGAGATTTAAAACATTTACATTTTTTGTTCTCCCAGTGTCATCTATAAATTAATATCCATTACGTCCCTACCTCCAAAATCGCTCCCAATTTCCTTTAGGATGTCGTCCCCGTAGGTCCCTACCGCCCACTGTGAGAAACCATTTTTAATATTAATTTTTAAAACCTGTTATGAGAGGCCTATATTATTATCCCTCGTAACTTTGCATACCATACTAAACGCAAGTAACTACTGACCAGTTTGTGCCTTCACCATTTTCCACATATTGCTTACTGATTCTGAAAATCACGAGCATGTACTTTTTATGGAGAGCAGATTAAATATTTGACAATTTGGTAAGATAAAAGAGAAATGAGTAAACCGTGAACATGTATATGGAAACTGTTCTTGTTTGTGATATCAAGTGCCTTAAAGACTAGCTGTGTATTGCTTTTTTACAGATCCATATTAGGCAATAGTCCCGAAAAATCCCACACCCTTATTACGTAACTGCAAAGTGACAGGGATAGCGATTTGGAGAAGTATGGCGATCAAATCGATACCATAGCGATTATTTTGAATTTAGAATCCTGGGATTTCCCAGGGTTTGAACCGGACTGAAGAATCTGTTAAAACCTTGTGCAGGTTCTTTCCTCACTTTCTGGAAATTGAGATAAAGGTAAAGGTATTCTGGAGGATACCAAAAACTATACTTGATTTAAATTTTGTTTCTGTTTAATGCCCCTTATAGCGAAAAGGTTTGCGATTGAGACCAATGATTGCCTCTACTTAGATTGCTTGAATAATGTAAGTGAAATGCAATGCCTTCTTTCACATAAGACAAATAAAAATTGTGTGTCTATGGAATTGGAATGAACCCCACACCAGCCTATTTTTTCTTTAATCTATCGCCAAAACTGAATTTAACCCTGACCTTTCGGTCCTTTCGACGGTCAATCCCGCAATTCTTGATTCACTGTAAGAGTAACGTTTCTCAAAGCCATAAAGGATGCAAGCACTACAACAGAAGCTACAAGACATTCTTCTCTCTATACCTTATTACAAAAATACACCGCCGCCGCTGTGTGGCATTCCACAACCAAATTATGCGTGCACACCCAAATGATTTTCCTTGCGAAAAGTTCAACGTACTCATTTAAGTAAACGTCGCTATTTTTAAGTGAAGTGTGTGTGTGCCTAAAGAATTCTTCTAATTTTAGCTAGATGCCAACAAACAGCGGCTTGCTATGCCAGTGTGCCTATGCATCGTTTCCCAAATCCCTCGTCCTAAGTAAATTCCACTGTAATTCTGCTGTTCATTATCATATCAGACAGCTATACGGGCCTGCTGGCTTTGGCTTAAGCCGCGAACCCAGAGTCATTGTCATCATGGTGTTTTTTATTATTCTCCTGTTCTAAGGCACCAAACTAGCCCTGGAGCCGGCGGTTCTTAGAAAAACACTCTACTGAGCTTTCCATTATATTTCATATACAGACGTGGACAAAAGTTTGGACACAAATATTAACATTATTATGAACAATTTCATATACAGTGGACCCCCGATAATCCGGCCCCTGTCTAATCCGGCGCTCCCTGTAATCCGACATGTCTTTGAATATTACATACATACGTATTTGACAATCTTTGCTAATGTAGATCATGCAGGTTTGAAAAGGTTACAACTTGTACGCGCCACCGCTATCGTGCTCGACTTGTAAGCATTGTTTTACTTAGTTTGGATTTGACTACTGTGATAGCGGTACGGCCTAGCGTGCGTTCATTGTTTACTATTTATTCATTGTGTATTAATACTATACTAATACCTAGTAATGTCATCACAAACTCAGAAGCGAAAGCACAAAACATTGACAATTAAAGAAAAATGTGATATTTTAGACCGCTTAAATCGCAATGAAACTTTCAGTAGTTTCAGTAGTTTCAGACATTAAAAGAAACCACGAAAAAATGAAGAAGTTCGTGTCAACTACTGACTGCGGGCCAGGCAAAAGACAGACACTCAAGAAAGCTGAACATCCAGAAGTGGAAGAAGCTTTGTACATGTGGTTTCTTCAGGAAAGAAATAGGCATGCACCAATTTCAGGACCCATGTTGGCCATTAAAGCTAAGTTTTTTTATAAGGAAATAACAAAAAAAGTTGATTTTGTGGCCAGCAAAGGATGGCTAGAACGTTTTAAAAGTCGTCATGGCATAAGTTTAATGACTATTACAGGAGAGAAACTTTCTAACGATGCCACCTGCATAGAGCCCTTTGAATTAAGATTTTTGCGATTTAAATCTTGACCCGTCACAGGTGTACAATGCAGACAAATCAGGGCTGTTTTGGCGTGTGATGCGTAACAAAACTTTCGTTTCTTGTAACGAAAAATCCGTACCTGGACGAAATCATACTACCATGTGCTAACGCTGCGGGCACACACGCGCTTAAGATGATGGTCATTGGGAAATCTAATAAACCACGGGCATTAAAAAACATTGATTTACCTGTACACTAGTACGGACAAAAAAGTGCATGGATGACAAAAGACCTTTTCAAAAAGTGGTTTGATAAATGCTTCGTACCTGAAGTTAGAAAATGGTTAAAAGATCATAATTTTCCTCAAAAAGCGTTGTTGCTTCTTGATAACAGTCCCGGTCATCCGTCTGAAGAAGAACTAACAACTGAGGATAAATGCATCACTGCGATGTTTCTTCCGCCAAATTCCACTGCACTGATTCAACCATTGGACCAGAATATCATTCAGTTTGTCAAGCAAGACTATAAGAAAAACCTACTTCTGAGAGCCGTATCAAAAGACCAACCAATAGAAAAAACTTTAAAAGAATTTAATATGAAAGACTTGGTTTTTTGCTCTTTGTCAGTCGTGGAATGCGTTACCGTCATCAACTATTAAATCGTCTTGGAATAACTTATGGCCAGATATAGTCACCACTCCTAGCAACGTTCCGCAAATCAGTGTAACTTCGGAAGTTATAGAACAATTCTCTACTGAAACACAGATAAGTCCGGAAGATTGGGAAATCTGGTGCCGTGGAATGGATCAAGAGGAAAATGTTTTTCATGAAATGTCTGGCGAAGAGATTATAAAAGAGGTTTCTAATTAAACAACAAACAATCAGGAAAATAACGACGACGTGATTGCAACTGCTCCACAAGTCACAGCACAAGACGCAATTAACGCCTTTGAGCTAGGTTTACAATGGGCTGAAGATAATGGTACACCCTACAACGAACTTTTACTTTTGAGAAGACTGAGGGACAAAGCTCTGATCTCGCGTTATAACAACCTTAAACAAACAAAAATTGATGAATATTTCCAAGCTTCATAATTTGATAAATTCATTAATGATTTTGATTAATAATTCTTGATTATTTTGGTACATATATATGTGCATTTATGCTTAATTTTATAATAAAACGTAAGCTCTCTATTGTTATTTAATTTACTAAATTCGACATACATAAACTATGTATGATTTGTACTTCAAAGTACATACATATACATAACATACATATATAATAGCATTGGATACGTAATTTGTCGGATTACAAGGTACTCTTTTGTAAAAAATTCCGGACTATAGGGGGTCTTAGGCAGTGCTCTATAATCCGACAAATTCGATAGTTCGACACTGCCCTGCATAATGTTTGTTGGATTACCAGAGGTCCACTGTACTTATATTAAAATTTTGAAGGAACAGATAATAAAAATATTGAAGTCTACCTTCGGCTCCCGTACAAATACAAGGTTTATCCTATCAATATTCAAATTATCTTCAAATAAAAATACGCGTTTTTCCAAATAGCACAATTTTCGGAAAGACACAAGCATGGAAACATTTCAGTTTTGCCGTATTTATTCGTCCTGCGTGGTAAACATTAACATCAGTGAGAATTGCAAAAGTAATTGAATTATGTATTTAGAAGTGATGCCAGAAATGCTGACATTTATCAAAGATTAAAAATTAACAAAGGGATGATTTCGAAAATTATTAGTAAATATCAAGAATACGGATCAACAGCAGCGCGGCCCAGGTGCGGAAGACCGAAAAACCGATTATGTTTTGGATCGCTTCATTAAACGTTTGTCCCATGAAGATCCTCGACGCCAGCCACTCAGATTTTCAAACGAATCGTAGAAGAGTGTGCCAAAAATCTTGCTTGCTGGATTTTGGGCATTTTGGTAGGCGTCCAGTGCAAAAGCCTCTCATTTAAAAAAAAATCGTACTGCTCGGATTGAATTTGCTAAAACTCATCTAACTTGGACAGAACAACAACGGAATACAGTTTTATGGAGACGTGAAAGCAAATTTAACTTGTTTGGATCTGACGGTACGGCATTATGTGAGACGTCCAGTACGAAAATATTCGACAAAAAATATCAGTTGCCAACAGTTAATTAAGCACGGTGGACGCAACATCATGCTTTGGGGCAGTCTGTCCAGTTGTTAAAATTGTTGAGAAAATGGATCAAAAACTTTACAAAGATATTCTTAGTAGACACATGCTCCCTTTTGCTGAAGGAGAAATGCCTTTACAATGGATAATTTCAGCAAGACAATGACCCCAAACATACTTCAAAATTCATAAAGGACTGATTAAGACTAAAAGATGTTGATGTTCTTACATTGCCTTCACTATCCCCGGTCCTAAACCTTATAGAATATATCTGGGAGCATGTTAAAAGACAACTGTCAAGAAAAACTTTTAAAAATAGGAACGATTTATTCGATTATGTAAAAACTATTTGGTAAAATACCCCAACAGACGTTTGTAAAAAAATTGATGTCTTCTATGAGCAGCAGTGTTGAATGCTAAATGCTACCCAACTAAATATAGCTAAACAGTATTTTTTAAATCTTTGTAGTTATTATATTTAATTGTGTAATATAAAAATTATGTCTCCATACTTTTGTGGTCTCATTTTTGGTCATAAAATAATATGAAGGTATTTTAATGCTAGTCCGTAGTACCACAGCCAACACAAATTGTTATTTGTATCCTTAGACAAGCTATATGAGAAAAAAATAGCCGTTAAACTTTTGTTGTAGATCAGTTATACAAAAGGCCCTATGAAATCTTGGATAATCATGTACCCGATTTTTTTTAAAAAACCTTTTGAGTACGTACTTTAAGCCACATCC